TCGGGACCCTTTAAGCGCAGCCCTCGGCTAGCCTGAGACAGCATCTCCACGCTCTAAGTCCTCCTCTGATGCCCTGCCGGCACTGCTTCCGGCCATCCTTAAGCCCTGTTCAGGGTCCACTCAATGTGGACATGCTAGTTTGAATTAGCAAAACGCTAATTCGAACTAGTGTTTAAGTCTGGATGCGCTAATTCGAATTAGCTTAGTTCGAATTAACTAATTCGAACTAAGTTAGTTCGAATTAGTGCTGTAGTTCGAATTTTTCCCAGCTTTATCACAGAACCTCTGTGACCTTGGGAAAGTCACTTAATCTCTCCTGTGCCTACTTCTCTATCTATAAAATAGAATAATCTCTGCCTACCTCACAAGGGTATTGTGAGGGTTCATTCAATTAGCCTTTATAAAAGTCTTAGATCCTTCTATGGAAGAATCTACAGCAGTGCACAATGTGTTAATCACTGTGCTGATTACTTTGGGGGCAGTCACAAAGGTTTTCAAGTGAAGGGTTGGGTGAACTGGTTTGCATCAACTTAATCTATTTTTGAGGGATGTAAAAGTTCTGATAACCACAGAATATTTCTTTAAAAATCCATTCCCTTCCAACTAGTCCTTTGCACTGATTTTAGCAACTTGTTCACGGCAACAGAGGAACACAGTCTGGGTTGATTGGAATGAGCAGCTTCCATGCTGCCTAGAGCTGAAGCAAACAGATGAATTCTGTTTGCATGCATGCGAATCTAGTGAACAGAGGGGCTTTTATGGGTAGGTCCACTGAAGTTCAGGAATCCCCAGTAAGTAGCCCAATAAGAGGCTAGTAGTGAGGGGGCTATGGAGTCAGGGCTGGCACTGAGGACAGGGCTTATACAGGCAGTCCCCGAGTTACGCGATCCTGCTGCCCACGTCCTCCGGGGCGATAAAAGCTGCTCCACGTCTCCGTGGTCTGCTGGGGGGAAGTCCCCAGAGCAGACTAGGGAGATGGGGAGCAAAGCTGCCGAGGACGCCGGCA